AGTATTTCAACTGAATAATGTTATAAAGTATTACAATGGCTAGTTCCCATAAGTTTGTAACATTGACTCAGTGGTTACTGATGTAGGGATTTTTGTATGGTTTTGTGTATTCATCCCTACCATGTTTCTATACTTTTTGGTATTGACATCCCAATATCATCCTTATTTTGTCAAAACCTTTCAATTACTTGTCCCCTCTTGTTTTTTTTTTTTAAAAAGACAAACAATATGAAGGCAGCAGTTTTAGCTTGGCGTTATGAGATGTCTTGATGGACATCGTGTGTTGAAGTTAGTGAAACGCTATACTGTTAAAATGCAACATTTTTGATATGTAAATCATCTCAACAACTTCAAGCACTAGTCGTTAGCCCTTCTGACGCCAGAGTCAGAATAATCAGCAGAACATTTGGCTGTAACGCTATTCGCCAGTTTTCTACACTAGTACTGATAAATTGGCTAAGCTGAAGGTCTTACTTAATAGCTTTTGAAAACCTAAGTTAGGTGTTTATAAATATTCCTTAGATTGTATAAGAGAGACTTGAGACTATGATAAGCAATACATAATATGCGGCGGCCATTTTATTCCCTGGCACATCCCTACATACTAAGCACAGTAGTGCTTAGTGACGCATATCAACGTGCAAGTTTTTAATCTAGAGATATTTGAAACAGTTTATGAAGTAATTAGTTTTCATTTTATGTAAATCGAAAAACTTACAATAGTTTTATTATTATTATTCAAATATTTAATAATCCCAGTTGTCTAACACAGTAATTTACGATAAATTCTAGTAAAAAATATAAGATTTATTGGTTTTTTTTCTTGTTTTGAAGTGCGAATTGTGTTTCAAAGCCATTTAATTTTAAGAAGGGCGGGCTAGAATATGCAGTTAGAACTTAAAGTCAACATTTTCAGGTCAGAGTCCAGTGGCACGCCTACGTTACACCCCAGGATATCGGTTGTACTTTTAACGAAAGGCACTTTGAGTCTCCAACGCTGCTCCAAACATTTTTGATCGGGATCATCGACTTTTTTTCGTTAGCTCGCAGTCACAAGGCCTCACCTAAATGCTATAACGCTACCGGATGTATCACGTGACCAGCACAGCTACCTGTGAATGTTGACAACGGAACAGTTCTTCATGTACAGCGTTACGCTTACGAAGGATGTTAGGCCTAACGTACGAACAAACGTAGTTACATAGGAAAGAATTATGTCTTTCCACCATGATTCAACAGTCTTTTAAAAAAAAATACCTAATCTAGGAGTCTAGGTGAAGAAGGTAAGTCTTCAAAGCACATATTATTTGTTGTTGTTTTTTTCTTCGATTCACTGGAACTGGAAGACTAAATAACGTATCTTCTAGTTGCAGTATCTCTAGAACTAGGAATGTAACATCCCTGAGGGTTGGTAAAGTAATAGTTAAAACCTAGGTGTGGCAAAGTTGTTGGTTTACGAATAGCGTCAGACCATTTATAAGGTTTACACATATATATTTACATGGTGAACGTTGTTATTAGATTCTTATCGAAAGTCTTACAAGTACAAACCTGATTAGTTTTTGTAGTTGTTTGTTAACCCAAATATAAATAATATACTTAAACATTTGGTTCGGCTTTAAAAATAAGACTTTAACTTATTTATACTATTCACAGATGGCAGCACGTTGGCAAGACTAATATAATATTTCAAATCGCCAAACATCTGCTGTAGCGAGGCGTTATAACGAAAATTTTTATAAGACTATTATTTAGTATATTTAAAATTTAATAATAAAATGAAACTATATTCCAAATGATTTAAGGCATTACAAATATCTTACTCGCTCTTCTCTAAGAATTAACCTGTTTATTAATTACTATAAAGTAAGTTATAGTTATTAACGTAATAGTAATAATAAGCTCCGAATAGAGTTAAAAAGGTTACGATTGCAGGTACTAACTTCGTCAGTTTTGTTCTAATACTTTAGGCAACTCCAACCCCTCTTCTAAAATTTCGAGTTTTTCGTTTTAGTACTTATCGTATTATTATTATTATATTATTACCGTGTATTATTCTTTCTCCTATATTTATATAAAATGTTTTTATATTAACAATATTATCATTATTTTTAGCCTGACTAGAATAAGGTTATCCAGTTCTTGTACTTTGTAGCTACATATAGGTTGTATATACTAAAATTAGCAATTATTATTTTGTTGATATATCATTGTTTAGTAATTTAACAAATAAAATAATGTGTAAGTAAGGAGTAAAACAACAGCCACTTGATGAAATCGTTATAATTTTTTAACAAATAATAACGAACAGACAAAAATGAGGTCACAAATGATTGAAATTTTGGTGATGATTTTGCGGATATCGTGAATACAGAGAACCGTGTGGGTGAATCATTAATTATATACAGAGAACCGTGTGGGTGAATCATTAATTATATACAGAGAACCGTGTGGGTGAATCATTAATTATATAAAGAG